GGAAAACTGCTTATCAGAGAGCAGAAAACCTAGTGCTGGTGGGCAAATCCTCTCCGTGTGGATGAACGTGCACAAGGACATGTGCGTGCACATCCGCAAGCGCCTGCATAAACAAGAATGAGCGCGCACAAGTATAGGCGTGCAAGTGCTTAGGTGCACACACAAGCGTGTGTACAATGTGCCTGCATTTACTTGCACAAATGTGCAAGTGCGCAAGCACCACAAAATTGTGCACAAGCACAAATGCGCTCAAGCCCGTGCCTGCACACAAATACATGTGCAAGTGTGCATGCATGCCTGTACAAGTGTTGCTTGCACAGGTGTGCGTACAACTGTGCATGCATACGCACAAGTGTGTATGTACGCGTTCCCCAGGGCACCCCCGTGAGCCCGCATAGGTGGCCCGTGCCCACCTTGTCCAGCGAGGTGACGAAGCGAACACCCTCGTGTTCCTGCCTGCAGCGCGCCAGGCCCTGGCACAGGAAATCCCAATAGTCTTTCCGCTGCCCAAAGAAGTTCCTCTTCTCCTTGAGGTCGAACTGGCAGAGACATGGGCTTAGCCCCACTGGGAGAGGTTCCCCGTCCCCTCAACCTGTCCCCCAAGGGGCTGGGAGCCAGCCAGCTCTCCTGAGTGCCCAGCAGGCTCCCTGGCGCAGTTGGTCCCCGACTGGGGACAGCCCTGCTACACTGGGGCAGGGGAGAGAAGAGGTGCAGCCCTTGGCTGGTCCTGTGCCTCAGTTTCTCTTTTGTGGCATGAGGAATAACACCACGTTCCAGGTGTGGACGAGGGTGAGGCCCAGGCAGGGTGTCTGCCGGCTGCCAGGGTGCTTGACACTTCCAGGGGCGCCCTGAGCCAGACAACGCCAACGGCGTCCGAGGGTGCCAAGAGATCTGGCTCAGCCCTCCCTGGAGAAACTCTTCCTCCATGTCCCCAAAGCCAGGCAGCGTGAGGGCCTGGCAGTGCCAGGGGCCGTTGCGCCCAGCTCTTCCTGGCTGCCCACCCACCAAACGCCTAGCACAAGTCCCCTCAGCTCTCGGCTGCACCCAGGGGGGAAACTGAGGCAGGGAGGTGGCCGTGGGGCAGGGCTGGGGGCGGGTGCCCGGATACCTGCAGGAGGAACTCCAGCTGGGCGCAGAGGCTGTGCAGCTCGCGGCTCCCGTCCGTCACCGGCATGTCCTTCTCCCGGTAGCTCCGGTTCAGCTCGGCGACGGTCTCTGCGGGGCAGCAAGGCTGAGCTGGCCTGGCCTTGGTGGGCAGCGGGCTCCGTGCCGAACCCCCCCCCCCCCCCACCCCCCCCCCCCGGCCCCCCCCCCCCCG